GGAGTACGCACAGGCCCCTCCTCCCCACCCTGCCCTCGCCCAGCTGCCGACCTGCTTGGGCAGGCACCCAGGGCTGCCCGACCCTGCTGTCTGTGCCCCAGGGCTGCCTGTTCCTTCCCCTCCCCCAGCTTTGCTTCAGCACCCAGGGCTGCCCGTCCTGCCCCCCCCTTTGCTTCAGCACCCATGGCTGCCCCACCCTGCTGTCTGTGCCCCAGGGCTGCCTGTTCCTTCCCCTCCCCCAGCTTTGCTTCAGCACCCAGGGCTGCCCGTCCTGCCCGACCTGCTTGGGCAGGCACCCAGGGCTGCCCGACCCTGCTGTCTGTGCCCCAGGGCTGCCTGTTCCTTCCCTCCCCCCCCCTTTGCTTCAGCACCCAGGGCTGCCCCACCCTGTTCTCTGTGCCCCAGGGCTGCCCGTTCCCCACCCCCCATTCCCCCTGCCCCCCAGCTTTGCTTTAGCACCCAGGGCGGCCTTCCTGCAGGGCTGGGCTTTGGGGGTCAGGGCTGGGACCGGAATGCCACTTGTCCTCCCTGTTTGATACAAGCCCTTTTCTTTTCCTGGTTTTGCTCATTGGGGGGAAAACAGTTACTTTGAAGAGAAAGTGATGAAGGACAGATGTCTTGTAACCCTTTATTCCACTGAGATTTATTGAGTTGTCTGGTGCCAACAACTCTGTGAGGGGTTTAGTCTGCAACAATGGCCAGACACAGGCCCCAGAGGGACCCTCCCCAGTGGACTCTTCTGGGGGCTGCCCAGGTACCCGCTGGTGTGTCTGCTGGGACCCTTTGTCACCCCGTGGCTCCGAATCCGAAGCAGGGCGTTGGCATTGCAGCTTAGGAACCTTGCTCTTTTGGGATGTTTGCATGGTAAATCTCTCTAATCCTCCCATCAGTGTAAGAGGCAGCTATTATTACCAGTCCTCAGTGAACACCAAAAACCACAGCTCAGGTCAGCAGCTGGCGGGGTGTGTGTGAGACAGTCCAGGTCTGCCGGCCGCCGGCTCCTGGGATCAGAAGGAAAGCAGTGGTTTTCTGAGGAGGGGCTGGCCTTGAAGACTGAGAGCCTGTGGGGTGATTTCAGGCAGCCCCCCTTCTAGAGACACGCTTTCTCGAGACACGCTTTCTCGCCACTCACGGCACTCTCACCCCCAGGGGCTACGAGGGTCTCACAAACTGCATAGCAGCCTCCTTGCCAAAGGACATCCTGGTGTTCAACAAGCCTGTAAAGACTATTCATTGGAGCGGATCCTTCCGGGAGGAGACTCTTCCTGGGGAGACATTTCCCGTGCTGGTGGAGTGTGAGGATGGAGACCGTCTCCCAGCCCACCACGTCATCGTCACTGTGCCTTTGGGTAAGGCTGACTTCTGCATCAGGCTTGCTTGCAGTCCACATTTACACTCTGCTGGCCATCCTTGTCCTGCCGCGCAGTGGTCTCTGGGGGATCTGCCTTGCTCCTATGAAACTCACATCTTCACCTAAGTCATCTCCAAAGAGCCCTGCAACCCGTGGCCTTGAACGGAGGGGCTATCTTTCAGTAGAGTTGTGCTGCGTAAGGTTTTCAGTGGCTAGGGTTTAAGCAGTAGATTGCCAGACCTTTCTTCGTGGCCCCGGTGGTTGGACTCAAACCTGCAACCTTTCCATAGATGCCGAGCATAGTCAGTAGCCATTTTCAGAGAAGCCTTCCAGATGGGCGGAAGCAGTTGGTCAGTGTTACTGGACTCTTCCGCCTCAGGGCTGCCTTCAGAGGGTGACCAACATCTCTCCGTCTTGGTGATGGGAAGAGGATCAGGTGTCAGGATTAGCTGTGCATGGGGTTACAGTTAGAAGCCTCGGGGTGGACACTGGAAATGTGGTAAAGTGTGGAGGTGGTAGACTAGTAGCTGCCTCTTACTGACCACTGACTCCACAGGGCGTCACGCAGGCACGTCCCCTGCCTGGGCACCTTCTCTCATGTTGTCACTCTCCCTGCTCGGCCAGTGCAAATGTCGGGGTGAAGCAGTTAGATTGGATTGCAGGTTCACAAAATGACCAGTGTCAGAGCCGACATTGGATTTTTTTTTGGTCAAAGATGAAAACTGAAGAGCTGCTACCCCAGGGAGGCCAGTGGCTGCCGAGCTTTGTCTTGTTTTCGGTTGGGTTACATGTGGCCCGGCTACGTAGTGTACCTCCTTTCCCACAAACAGAATCGTACTAGATGCTTTAGTCTGCTCCGGGTTTGCTTTGCTTCTCTGCTTCATGCATTTTTGTCCATGTTTGCAGGTTAAGTCTTGTCGGGGACCCGCCTCGACATTGGGGTTCAGTTCACGAGGAGAGGATACCTGACGGCGATTCATATATATCCAGAATACACAAAAGGAGACAAAGAGAGAGACTAAGAGACACTCCGAAGCCAGAGTGAATGCTGGACTGGCATCAGGCAGATCCTGCATTGCAAACATCTCAGCCACAAAGGCCGTAATATCCTGCATAGTGAACATGTTAGCTAAACAGGCAGTATGGTTGCAAGGCTGGACTGTGCACCCTGCATGCTGAAGCGCATGCCTTGCCAGTCGTAATGCACTGCTATCTTTACTCTATGCCTGCCAACCAGCAATGCACTGATCTTTACTCCATGCCTGCCAACCAGCAATGCACTGATCTGTACTCCATGCCTGCCAACCAGTAATGCACTGCTATCTTTACTCTATGCCTGCCAACCAGCAATGCCACCTGGGGAGGCCCAGGCCTCTGCTTTATTCAGGGGAGGAGCCTCACACCAAGCTGGGAGACACTTAGGCAAGGTACAGCTAACATCAGTACTTTTCCAGACATTCAGGTAACTTTACATAGTACTTCACTGGTTCGAATCCCAGGCCAGCAACTTGGATTCTCAGGCCCAATTAACATATCTATAGCCCCTGAGCATAGTTGGGGGAAGGTGAGAGTTAAAGACAAAAGCTTGGGTGGAGTCCTGCTGCTTTGGCTTCCTGAGCCAGGTCTGCAGGAGGACTCCAGACGCCCAGGTGAATGGGCTGCACCTGGAAAAGGATTAGGGAGGATGGGTTCTTTGTCTATAGAACAAAGAGCTGTGAAGTAGCTAAGACATTTTCAGTTAATCCTTTGGAGAAATGCTTAACCTTACAACCTTCAGTCTTGGCTTTAGGAAAATATCACATTTATCTGTGGATTGTCAAAGGCTCCAGTGTATTAATTTAATATATATACCTGAATATTAATATGAAAGCAATTTGCCATTAACTGCCAGTGGCCTCATTTGTTACACTCGGCCCTAGCGGGCCTCGAACCTCTGATTAGTCTTACATGGTCTGCAACAAAGTCTGCTATAGTCTGTAGTTTTTAGCTTCTGGCATTAATGATGTTTACTCATTCATTCATTCATTCACTCATTTTTTGCGGTGTGTACTTACTAAATGCTCATCCTTGGGGATATAATCAGTAGATACACTGTCAGAACTATGTTGATACTTGCATGTGCCACATTGTTTTCTTACAGGTACATGGCGCCCTCTTGCATGTACATGTTATTCTTTAATGACCATAGATGGGAATTTAGGTTGTCTTCATTTTACACAGTGTTTATTCTGTACATTTGAGAACATTTGTGTGAAGATGCTTTTACGGTCCATTCCTATACTGGAAAGTGCTGGGTTGCCACCTGGACCGATGGGACTGCCTTTGGAGGTGGCCGTTAGAGTGCCCACTCTGCACATCTGCATGGTCTGGCGATAGTCTTTGCTTCGTTACTGATTGTGTGGTCACCGTTTCCTTAGTGACTTAAGAAGGTTGTCATTACCATGTGTGCTGCAAACACGAGTCTTTCATCCCAGTTTGCTGTGTGCTAAATTTACTTTTTGTCACGCAGATTGATTTTCATGTAGGTGTAACTAGGCTCCAGACTAACTGTTTTTTAAAATTTTAATAGTAATTGTTGTTGTTGTTGTTAAGTGCCATCAAGTCGGTTTCAACCCTGAACAGGGTTTCTGAGGCTGTAAATCTTTACGGGAGCAGAAAGCTACATCTTTCTCCCGTGGAGCAGCTTGTAGTTTCGAACTGCTGACCTTAAGGCTTGCAGCCCGATTCGTAACCACTACGCTACCGGAGCTAGCTTTAATAGTAATAAGTTTATTTATTTTTTCAAAGTGTTTATTGTGAATTATGTGAGAGTGTACATGGGAGAACACCAGCTTTACATGCATCCTAGCGTTTCATTGCAATGATTACAATCCCCTCGCTGCATCGTCAAACTTATGGGGTACACCCCATAAGTCTGTCCCCCAGCCGTCAGCACACAGCCCCTCTCCCTCTCTTGTATCTAAAGTCTCCAGCTGCTCCATCTCTCCACATCATCATCTCTGCCTCCATCTCAGGCATCACTGCTTCTCTGGGTAGGGTCCCTCTCTCCGCTCTTCTCCCTTCATGGTCCCAGGGACCTCTGCTCCTAGATTGAAAAGTTAAGCACTCCCCTCCTTGCTGTAAAACATCTACCTGTACATTTCCAACCCTCACAAGCTGTCCTGATAACAATTATTCACTATTGTGCCATGTGAGAGCTATCCCCATCTCGTTTCATCAGCCCCACCCAGACAGATTGGAAACCACTCAGTGGAGATTCTACCTTCCTCCACACCCTCTGGAACTAGGCTCCCCCTTGAAAGCTTGTAAGCAGTCAGACTAACTCTTATTACGGTGGCATTCAGAGGCTGAGAATGAGAAAACATTCAGAATGCTGACAGTTTGGGTGATGACGTTTATCGTCCCTGTTGACCTGCAGGCCCAGTGTGTGCTGTCTCCCTCCACCATTGTGCGGGTCATCAGGCCGTCCTCATGTCTGCCTCCTATGGGCCGTGGAGTTAGTAGGCTTAGGTGGAATTAATGGGGGCTGGAGGGTCTTTGAAGGAGGGTGTGGCTTTGGTGTCTGGACATCTATAAGAGCCTCTTCCTCCACTCTGTGGACTGGGGCACAGGTGGAGTTCATGGTGGTTGGAATTCAGTTTAAGAGCTTCATGTGGTTAAGTCAAGTCCAATTGTGAATTCCAGGTTTTCTTAAAGAACGTATGGACACCTTCTTTCAGCCGCCACTGCCCTCTGAAAAGGCAGAAGCGATCAGGAAAATGGGTTTTGGGACCAACAATAAAATCTTCCTGGAATTTGAGGAGCCATTCTGGGAAGCGGACTGCCAGAGCATGCAGTTGGTGTGGGAAGATGCACTGTTGCTCGAGGATGCTGCAGCCGACCTACAGGACACCTGGGTCAGGAAGCTTTTTGGCTTTCTTGTTCTGCCCACCTTTGGGTAAGCGTGCCTCTCGAGCTTGTCTGCAAGAACTGAGTGTGTGGCGTCCTTAGGCCTTCACTAGAAGGCCCATGGTGTGGTTGTTGGTTGCAGTGTATTTTTGGAGGACTCCACAGGTGCACCCTGTGGCCCTGGTAACAGGCACCTAGACTCTAACCCCCATGAGACAGACGTAAGATTTCTGCACGCAGCTGGTCAGGACCTAGTGCATGACAATAGATGGAAAGGCACGTTGAAGCAGTAAGGAGATCCTTCACTGAGAGTCCACAGGAAGCTGGGCAGTGCACGTTACAGAAGAAAGCTGACTCATGGGTCTGTCTGTAACTGGGGTGGGGGTGGGGTGTGCAATATTTAAATGTGATGTAGTAATTGAGCAAAATGCCTTCTCTATCAGGAGCTCTGGTAGCGTAGTGGTTACGAATCAGGCTGCGAACCGCAAGGTCAGCAGTTCGAAACTACCAGATGTTCCGTGGGAGAAAGATGAGGCTTTCTGCTCCTATAAAGATTTGCAGCCTCAGAAACCCTGTACAGGGTTGCTATGAGTCGGAACCGACTCCACAGCACACAACAACAACAGCATCCTTGTTTATAATGGAGTTGTAGACCCACAAACAGAGCACTAAATTGCTGGGCCTAATCGGTCAACGTAGTAGCGTATATGGAATTAGGGGCTGGTTTAGAACACAACTCCATGACTAATTTAGGACGGACAGATTGATGTTTCTGGTAAGATTAAAAAGCAAAGCATCTAGGGATCAGGAGTGATTACATCCACTGGCAACTCAGACCACCACACTTGTGCTTGTCTCCAGGGAGGGCGACTCTGCCGGTCTGTGGTACACAAGCTTGGTGGGATTTCCCACTGCATCACACGGAAAGTTGGAAAGACGTGCTCGACATGTAATAAAAATGATCACTCTTTTCTTCTTCATGAGGGACGTTCTCTTCAGTGAGTTTGGCCCTTTTTGTTCTTCACTGCATGTTTGTGGTCCTGAAGGACTCAGCACCTGTGAGCATGACTTGGGGCCACCACCTTGATTCTGCTAGAGGCAGTAGTTTTTCCCACACTGCTTGTCAGTGCAAATGCCAACACTGTGGAATTCGAAAGCACTGTCTTAATGGTAGGAGGATGGTTCTGGCCTTGTAGACCCGTCACCAGGTCTCCGGAACCCTGGGATCTGAAGCTGCACTTGAAAACCTGGACTGGGTTGTCAGGGAGCCCTGAGATGGTCACTGGTTCTTCCCAGCCCTGTCCCATGGCCTTTCTCCCACAGGTCTGGCCACGTCCTCTGTGGATTCATTGCTGGGCTCGAGTCAGAGTTTATGGAGACCCTGTCTGATGAGGAGGTGCTTCAGTCTCTTACTCGGGTCCTTCGGAGGATGACAGGTATTCACCCCGTCTCAGAGCCGCTGCCCTGTGTCCTGGGGGCTGCTCTCTGAAGGGGAACAAAACTGTTCAGCACAGAGAAGAGCTGAATGTGGCTCTCTGAATCTCTGGGTGGCCCCCCCAGTCCTTGTCTCCAGGAAACTCACAGCACTCTGTGAACACTGTGTGTTACTTTTCTCAAAATCTGCAACCAGAGTGCATGCGATGTGCTCAGCTGGGTTTTCCAGGCACGTCCCGGGTACACGGCTGGCCGGGACCACCCATCTGCCTGCTGCAGTGTGTGACTGGTCATTCC